TCATTTTTATTCTAATTTTAAACACTTACGAATAATTTTGCACCCGAAAAAATATATAATACTCTATAATATTTGATGCACATTACGTTTATCTGACTATGGGGGCGCATATTCTTTTAATTTTCTTTATCTTTGATTGCCGACTTTCTAGACACTTAATGATTAATAATTGGGAAAATTAGAGAGAGGGACCAGGTGAAAATGATATTTATTAAAAAAGATCTTAAAAATTTTAATTATTTAAAAAGATCAGATATTAAAATATAAATTTAAAAAGACTAAAATCACCCTTATTCACACAATAACCCTTATATTCTCTCACCACGTCCTATAATTTTCATATTGTTTAGTAGAATAATTACTCCTCTGATCCTAAATATAAAAATCTTTAGGTAGTATAAATTACACTACAAAAAATTCTTATATTTATGACTGGAGGAATACAATTGATTTCAAACTAATTTAAATTTCAAAGTCAAACACTGATTCTAATTAATTAAATTAATAGTCAACACTAGTTAATTTATTTTTCCATTTTTTTTAATAATTTTTTGTAGGCTTCCTAAAATATGAATTGAATAGTAAATTTCTACCACTCACAGAGAAAAAAGTTGTTCCATATTTTTCTTATCCATTTTATACTATTATTTGTCATAATAAAAGTAGTGATAATAAGTTAAGTAAGAAAATTCAAGTTTAAACCTACACGATTTTTTTATTCTTATTAATTATGGATGAGTTATATATTATTTATTATTATATCAATTTTTTGAATTTTAATTCAACTATATGATTTTGATTGGCTCATTATTCAAGAAGTCCAGAAAAAGAGTTTATTTTTTTTAAAAAAATGATGGACAAATAAATTAATTAGTGTTACTTATTAATTGAATTTAATTTAGTTAGTTAGAGTTGTTTCGTGCTTTGTAATTCCAATTAGCTTGAATAAAATTTAAGTATTTTGTTAAAAAAAAAAAGAAGAAAATTATAGGATGTGGTGAGAGGTGACATATGAAATTTTGTTAAAGGCAAATTGGTAATTTTGTCCCTTAATGATTTTATCATCTGTCCCGCAAATTACCAAAAGAGTCAAACTTTTTCCCCCGTTTTACGCGTCATCACTATTCACTGGGAGTAATGTTCCTGGGGGCAATTATTAGTCCTTCAACTCATGGTAGATTGGTTGCTTGGCCAACATCATCATGTTCGCCATCATTCGCCGATTTTAAGTTACTATAAATCTTCTAGTTAATATATCCATCATTAAAAATAGTTTTGCCAACGACTAATCACACGCACACTCTCTCATCCATAAAATAGGAAGTCTTTTAAAAAAAAAAATTATGGTCTAAAATATGTACAAGAAGTTATGAAGATAATTAATGACATTTTTTTTACTTTTTATTCCTATTAATTATGAGAGAGAGTTTTAAATGTAAGAAAAATAGGTGAGAAATTAGAGATAATAAAAGTGTGTTTAAAAATATATTTTATTACTTTCCAATTATATTTTTAAGGGGAAAATAATTTTTTTTATCATTTTAAAACACATTTAATGATTTACTTACCATTTCTTGATTTGCTAGAAAACTTAATCAACTTCTTAATTATCTTACGGACCAAAGGGAGGGACTATATCTAATACTCTCTCTGTCTTTTTTTATAAGTAACATTAGATTAAATCATGTATATCAAAAAGTTTGTTAAAATTAATTAAAGACAATAAATGTGTAAAAATTAAAATTTTCTGTCTCTAAAATACTCTTACTTGTAATAAAGAGAATTACCAAAGAGAGAGAATGTGTGATGAAAAGAGATTATATTAAAATATAATCTTCAAAGCATGTATTATCTAGAAAATGATGTTTTGAGAAACAAAAAATAAATATATTAACTATTAAAATAAATTTTTAAAAAATTTAAAATAATTTACAAATATTACTTATATTTAGAGACAAGGAGAAAATAGTGATTGTTTAAAATGTAAAAGAGAATGTATGAGAGAACAATAATGCAATTAAGTAAAGATAAAATTGATAAAATGCATTTAATGCTTTGATAACTCTAAATTAAATCTTATAAAAAACAAAATTAATTAAAAGTTTGGATGTTTTAAAAATGATAGGAAGAAGTATAAGCACTATATATGAATCTTTTTCCTCTTTCTTGGCCAAAGGGGATAAATTTTTTTACAAAAGCGGTGGAGGTAGAATTTGATCCCACTCCCAAATGATTATTTGAGCTAACAAAATTAGTGGTAACCATTGAGCCACTAATGGCATCATAACAAAATAATACCCAAAAAAAATATAAGTTAACTTATTTACTTTAACTTCATGTCATAACAACACTTTATTTAGGAATAAGAAGTCTTAATTGTGAAATAATAAGTTTTGAGTTAGAATTAACAACACTTTTTTTTTCCTGATACATAATATGTGATGTAGGATAGTAATTCATTTGAGAAGAAATTCCCCCCCCCCCCCAATAATCTACATTGACATAACAAGTATGAATGCAAAATAACCAAAAAAGACTTTTTAATTAACCAAAAAGTATAAAATTACCAAAATAAATTAAAAAGTATTTTAAATGTATTTTTGTAAATTTTGGTAATTAAAAATTCATAATGAGGACTTTATCTATAATTTTGTATTGTGCTAAAAACAAATTAGTATTTTTACTTCATAATATTTATATTATTTATAATTTTTAAAAAGTGTTTTAATTTATAATGAGTTATATAGATATAATTATACTTTTTAATCTATATATCAAACCTTTCACTAATTTTGATTCATCATATTATGAGAAACTAATCCCAACTCTTTTGCCAAACCATTAATTAATACTCGTCATTTTAATAAGACAACTTTTAACACACTCGTGATCATGCATTTCAAACACAAATTTTTCAAATCAAAAGCATGCGATTTCCAAAGAATTGTTGACTATATTTAAAGTTAATTAAAAAAAACTATTCCCTACTTGATAAATTCGTCAACCAATTCATGTTTAGTGAAATTAAAGTATTTAGCTTGAGCTTGGATGTCCCAACACCAAATATTATACTAGCATATGGGTATTATATCTTTTATATTCAAGCATAAATGTATTCAACTAGAAAATAATAATTAAAAAAATGTGGCCATGTGTGATTTTGTTTATTTTAGACCACTTGTTTTTTTTTTTAACTTCGTTCTCAATATATTATATATAGTCGCCGCTTATTTATTTTTATAAATATGAATATGAAGAACTCGAATTAGACATTATTACTTGAATAAATATATATTTTTTGAAAAATATATAATTTTTACTAAAAACATTTTTGTTATATATTTATGTAACATATTAAGTAGAAGCAAAGTTTTGAACAAATCAATCAATCAATTATCTAGAAGATGTAAATACCTAACCCACTTCACCCAAAGTACAGACTCATTCTTGTTGCATTTGCTTGGGGTGTACTTTATAAATTCGCTTGGACCATCCTAAAAATCTTTTACTTTTTCTTAAAGCTTAAAGTAAAAACTTTTGATGCCCCTCAGTGAATTTGTTCTTTTTTTTTTAAAAAAAAAAGAATTAGAAAGGAACGCATTAGTAGACCGAAGTACTAAGTAGGGCTGCATATGGGCAGGGTTGGGCAGGGTGGGACCCTTGCCTGATGCCCAGCCTGAAGAATGAACGAGCTGGAAAATGCAGCCCGTTGCCCAGCCCTGCCCATGAAAAGCTCTAATAAATCTGGGCTGGGCAAATGCGGGCGGGTTTCTAGGCCTAACAAGTCGGTATACTATATTAATTAACTAATTATTTATATCCTTCTAAATAATCTAATGTAACTTTATTAAAATGGAAACTTGGCCTTAATTTTGTTATTACTAATTAATATACTATGAAGCTACTTTTTGTAGTAGCTAAGAGGAGTGGACTATGACAAAAAACGTTGTTAGTATATTTTATTAAACTTAATTATTTTTCTAGTTTCCAACTATCAAAATCATTCAAAAATAAATAAGTATAATGAATACTGAATATTGATACAACAATGCATTTGATTTAGGAAATAAATATGAGGCAATAAAATATATATAAATAAAATTATATATATTTTTGCGGGCAGGGCCAAATGGGCAGGGCAGCATACCGTGCCCAATGCCCAGCCCAGCCCAACAGTTTGTCCAGCCCGAACATGCCCAATAGTTCTTTCGGGCCATTTTTTTTAGGACGGGTTGGGCATTTTTTTGCGGGCTTGGGCGGGCATAGCGGGCTATTGGGTTTCATGAACACCCCTAGTACTAAGCATCAAATCCATGATCTGCCCAAAGAAAAGCACTCATGTCATTAAATTACATATAAATATATAAATGTACATTCATCTAAATTTAATTATATACAAATACAAATAATATTAAGTGACGAGGGTTATGAATTTATTTAAATCCATATTTATTACATATTGCAAATGTACCCCTCTGTAACTTATTTTTTGCTTTTTTGGGGCCTCTTTCCCCTTGTATTCCTTGATTTACTTTAGATTTCTTTTAACAACTCTAAATGTCTATGTCGTATTTCATCATTAACATAATTACTCCGTTACAATTATGCATAATACAAAAACTTTGAACTCCGTTATTAATTTTTTATTTTAGATAGCAATTTATAATGAATTTATATTTTTCTCAATTCTCATGCTCAATAAGTCAATATGCATTGAATTGGAAGAGATGCGTAAATGCTAATAAAAAAAAAGAAATAAAATTTTAAATTTCAACGCTATCAGTTGCCATAATTCTGACAGTTATAGGTTCGTTTGTGCAAATGACAGGTACACCTTTAAAAATAAAATGATGAAAAATAGGTCAATGAGAACACCGGAAAAATTTTTCCAAAGCACAAATAATTTTTTTGAGAGAGAGAGAGAGCAAACACGTGGCACACAATGACTGGAAACGTGCCACCTGTCACTTTCGATTCTCCGTTATATAAAGCGCTCAAATACTCCTTTCCCCTCTCGCCCTCATCCCACGCTCTGGAACAAGCCATTGAAACAGAGTAAAGTTACGGTACGCCATGGCCACTGAACCAGAAAGGGAAGCAGAGGCTCCTATCCATGGAGATATCTTAGAGTCCATTCTCTCTCACGTGCCTCTCATCGATCTCGCTCCCGTACTCCACGTGTCAAAATCCTGGAACCGCGCCGCATCCTCCTCCCTTGCTCATCTGAACCCCATCAAGCCCTGGCTCATGGTCTACACGCATACTAGCAGAACCCCGCATGTGATCACCACGCACGCTTACGACCCTCGCTCCCGAGCGTGGGTTGAGATTCGCGAGCCCTCCTCCGCTAGACCCACCGTCGCCTCGCTCCGGTCGTCACCCTCATCACTACTCTACATGCTCTCTTCTACCGCCTTCGCCTTCTCCTTCGACCCAATCCACCTCACCTGGCACCATGCCGACGCCCCGCGCGTGTGTCGAACGGATCCGATCGTCGCCCTCGTGGGTCACCACATAGTCGTCGCCGGTGGCACGTGCGAGTTCGAGGACGACCCGCTCGCGGTGGAGATGTACGATTTGCGGACGCGAACCTGGGAGACTTGTCAGTCTATGCCTGCGATCCTGAAGGGCTCCACAACCTCCACGTGGCTGTCCGTCGCCGTCCAGGGCCACAGGATGCATGTGACGGAGAAAATCTCCGGCGTGACCCACTCCTTCGATCCCCATACGAACACGTGGCAAGGACCCTACGACCTGCGGCCCGACCAGAGCGTGTATTCCAGCATCACCGGAACACTGCGCGACCGTCTGATTCTCGCGGGACTAATCGGAGAAGAGGCGGACGTGAAGGGAGTGAAATTGTGGGAAGCGAGAGGCGAATTGGGATCGGAATCGAAGCTGGGGTGCGAGGAAATGTGTGAGATGCCGAAGGAGATGGTGAAGAAGCTGAAGGGAGAAGCAGGGTGGGTTTCGTCAATATCGATGTGGACAATGGGGGATTCAGTGTACATGTACAACCCGTCGGAGCCGGAGTGGGTGATATCCTGCGAGATGGTGGCCGGAATCTGGAAATGGGAGAGCGTGGAGAACGAGGCGGTGAGAGAAGGAGGACGATTACAGAGGATGGTGGTTGGGGTGGGTGAAGTGAGAATGGAGGATTTGCAGAAAGGGATGAGAGAGAATCGGAACTTCGCTTTGAAGCAAAGAAAAAGTTGAATTGGTGAAGAACAAGTAAGAAATTATAAGGACATGAACATGAGTGAGTAGTGATATTGACGTCGGTGGAAAGATGGAAAGTGGATTGTCCATAGAAGTAGAACTTGCAGCTGAGTGTTGTACTTGACTTCTTTTACCTAGGTTTTGTTTTGTTTGGCGCATGTTACAAAGCTGTTTTAGTGAGATTGACATGAGATTTAGGGCAAATGTTAACTTGATTTGCTTAAGAAAGCAAATCGAACTAAATTTTGTCTCAAGCTTTTTATTGTTGTATTTACAACTTTGGAGGAATGAAATTGCAGAATTTATATAAAATAGCATGAAAATCACAAAAAACAAAAGAAAGGTAGGGTTTTTTTTAAATATTAATTACATTAATTATATAGATTAATCTTGTAATTAGGATGATTGGCATTTCTTCACTATAAAGCTTGAAAAGCGAGGTAATATTAATTTACTACATCTGATTTTTAATATAAAAGATTTGAATAGATCAAAAAATTTAATTAATTTAATTATTTGTAATAAATAAGTGTTATCTTTTCTAAAATGTTTTTACTAATTAAGTGTATTAGTTATAATTACTATTAGTATAAAGACTACTTTGAGAAAAAAATAGATAAACATGAGAGACAAATAGATTTAGGTCTTATATTTAAAATCAAAATAAAAATTAACCAACGGCAGTTGGGTCTAGCAGAAGAAGCTAATCTCTCACAACGTGACGAATCAAGGTTCGAATCCCCGTTGGAAGAAGTGCCACATTTAGTGTTCGACAGTACTTTGAATATGATTGTTTCTAATAGAAAGATATCTATGTTTTAACAAAAAAAATAAAAATTAAACAAATTTTTATATTAAAAAGCGTAGGTAGTATTTTATAAGCCTATGTCAGATTGTAAGAATGTTTTGATATGTGCGCGTATAAATGTGGATAAAAATAATTATTATTTGGTGACAATCTATGTTTATATTAAGAAACAATAAGTAAAGTACGTTGTATTTAAGATTTTCAAAATTATACGTTGCACTTGGTCTGCTCACACTGTTTTTACATCTAATTTTAAGGTATCTACACATTGATTAAAAAATCTAATTAATATTTTAAAATCATTTCTAACTTTAGTAGTATGCGTTTACTAGATGTAATTTGCTTTCTACATTTGGAAATTATGCTCAATTAAAAAAATATGGATATATTTAAACAAATATTAATTAATATGCGGCCTCACGCTTCATTAGCCATGAATAAATTGGGGAAAAAAAAAAGATAATAAAAACAAAACTTTTACTTAAAGAAGACAAAATTTTTTTTAAAAAAGGGAGGGAGTAATAAACTATAGCTTAAGAAGAATTAAGTTAATTGCAGCTTATATAATTTAATACATCTTATTATAACTATAATGTTATGTGTAGATATATTATCCGGAAGTACATCTCATTTGAATATGATATACTTACCATGTTTAGCCTAGAATAATATTTAACCGTTGAGCAATAACTATAATCTAACTATATATATATAAGTATTTTAGATAGATTATATAACAAATACTATAATTAAATAATTTAATAAATTTCTCAATCTTTTCAAATTAGCTAATTGAATTTTATATTAAGAACCGGAAGTAGTATATTAATGTATAAGTGAGACAAATTAATTTTAAAAAAAACAATAAATACAAGTACTTTAAAGCAATTCACTAACTCCATTAATCTTCATAAATTAATCAATTGGGCCTCATTAAGAATTGGAGCTAGTAATTCAAATTTCAAATAATAGGAACAAGATTCAAAAGGATTATAATAGATATGTATTGGCCAAAAATAAAAACATACAAAACAAATTAAAACAAGACCATATCTAAATTTACAGGGGTGCTTTTATTTTTAGAAAACTTGTTTGTTCCGTCGGGATGATAGCCGACCATAATATATTGTTTGATCAAAGACCTTGTCTGTATGATATTGATAGTAATCTAATTAATTATCATAGGTATTAAAGTATGTATTGAATTTGTAGTTCGTTGATCAATAAATAGACTTAGCTCAGATTTTGATTTGATTTTTTTTTTTGGGGTAAAAGATCTTGATTTTATTTGCAGTAGTTGTAACTACTGAAATTTTATGTTAAATTTTTTGACCACCGACTTTTATGTTAAATTAAAAGACGTTACTTTTGGAACCATATTCATAAAAAATTAACACGCCATTGCACAGTCAAATTCAGAATGCTGATCAACTTAAAAGCCGCTTAATTTTTTTTCACCTGAAAAAAGCTGCTTAATAAATCTGGATAGATTAAGAAAGTGAGTTAATTATAATACATGCAATATGATCTTTCTAAAATATCTATACATAATCTTTTATTTTTTTTCTTACCAAAATTAGAATATATACCAGTTTATAAGTTATATAAATTAACGTAGAGAACGTGATAAATATGATAGATAAAATAAATTAAAATTTTGTATTTATAATACAATTTGATGTTTAATTAGTTTTTATATTAAGAACGGGATAGAGTATTTCCTAATTATGAAATTGTGTTGTCCAATGAAAATAAAATATACTGTATTTAGTGTTTTCCTAATTATTCGACTATAATTGACAGAATATTGATTTTTTTTTGGCTAAAGATAAAATATTGAATTTGAAATTTGTAAATTAAAAATGATAGAATGATTAACTAATTTAGATATTGACAATGTTTAAATTTTAATTTGGTGAATAATGCTAAGTACATCAGTGTTGTGGAGGGCAAAAAGAGAAAAGAGGAAAAGATGTGAGATGAAGAGGGATTTAGTATTGTTAACTTTTGTGCATAAATGAAATTTATGAAACCAGAAAATATTTATATATATGCATATGTCATCATAAATGGCCACACATGTAGCTTCCTATGACACTGACCACTCAATGCTACCCCATCTCTTTTAGATAAGGACGGAGCACCTTCTAAAACCATCCGATTCAAATCACGCTTATATCATAAATTTGCCTCAATAATATTAAATATTACATATGAAAAATCCACCAATAATAATAATAATAATAACAACAATAACAATAATAATAATAATAACAATATTGCTTTTTCATTAATTTTTTCTTCATTTAATTTTCATGTTTTTATCTAAATTGATTGTGCATTAAATGCAAGTATATGCTTGCATTCATTTTAGCTTTTATTCCCTAACCAACTCAAAAATAGCCACATCAAATATTGAAATATCGAATTGTTTAAAAAGTTAATACAAATAATATTGTTCTATTTTTATATGTATTTATTTTTATACAAGTAAATGAGGCCTCAAACAGCTAGCTTTACAGAGTTTGAAATAAGCCACACCATTTAAAACTTATTTTTGTTTTTTGCCAGCACATCATCTTAAACTTATGAAAAATACGACTCTCCATAAATTTTTTGCCCCGATAATATTAGTTAATATTGATATTGATTAAAAAATTTAAAGCATTACCACATTTTTCTGGTTGACTACTGATTACTCCGTTTTTTAAAGAAAGAAAATAAAAGTCCCCCACGTTTTAATATATTGAAATCTCCAAAATATTTTGGGCCTCAAAACAAATATCCAGCCCATATCGGCATAACCCATGACAGATTCTTAAAAGGGGCTTCCACATTCAGTTTCCAAGCCTAGGCCTGTGTTTCTTCCTTCATAAAACAAGGCCTTTTTCATTTTTCTCCAAAAAAAACACTGGCCCTCAAAGCTGTCAAACGGGCTGAGCCCATCAGGCCAGCCCGTTTAAGTCTTTTTAAGTGAAGGGCCTGGCTTGTTCCTAGTTGTGCACTATTAAAAAAAAAAGTGAAATCGTCAATAGGAATTAGGTCTGACGAAATATGCTAGTTTATAGAATATGGCGAATAAAAATTTGAATCCCTATTGAAAAAGGTATTCATATTTAGTGCTCGATAGGGTTTCGCAGAGGACTGACTCTAATGAGAAGGATACTGTACTTAGCCCAAAAAAAAAAGAATTATGAAATCCATGCACTCGGGGGTGTTAGCTGAATCGGACCAAGCTAACATAGTCTGATATCCAAGGCTTCAGTCCAGGTAAGGCCACTCATTCTCAACTCATCAACGGGCCACGTTAGGACTCTCAGCTTTGAATACCAGATCTAGGATAACTGGAAAGATTATCACCAAACACTCCTTCATGGATCGTGGTCGGATTCTATTTTCTGATGCACAGGATCCTCTTAAAGAGGCAAGTGCAGAGCATACTTAGAATCTCTGGCGACAGAAGAAAGATATCATAAGTGAGGCTTTCAGAAGAAGAGAGAAATTTAGAGAGAGCTCATGAGGAAAGCACACTAGTATTATACAAGGAAGTCGATACAACTCCTTCTGCCTGTAACTGATGGCAGAGTGGGGTTTATATAGACGCTCGGGGGCACTACATGACAAAGTCCTAATAGTACACCTCATTATGACGGGTAGATGTAATAGTAAACGTCATTATGACTTGACATTTAATAATCACAACTACTAACTACCAACCACTCTCATAATGACACCTAATAATGGCAACTACTCCACTTATTACAAGAGGACGAAATAGACTACAGGACAAACTACTTTAATAAAGTAAAAGTAGATAGCGACATAAAGTAGGATTCTGGCGGGTCCCGCATTATCTTCAGAGTATCCCAAAAGGAGATTTTCTGATGATGATGTTCCCTAGTCTTTATAGATAGGCTCGTGGCTAGGGGATAGGTTCATGATGCCTTCTGGGTCAGGGTCATCTGAGTCATAGTGTCTCCTTGAGCTTCTTGAGTAGTAGTAGTCTTCGAGTTCTGGATCAGGGTCTTCTTGGTTAGGATCCTGGGATTCCCCTGCAAGGAATGGGAGTTGTGGCTGGAAACTTGGCTGAGGGAGATAGAGTCCTTCAGGCTGAGTGAGTTGAATTTGTGAGTCGTTGTCACCGTCATAAGGGTCTTCGGTGGCTTCTGTCGGTGGAGAGACTTGTGACCTATTTGGTGGAGGTCTGACAGCACTCAGGATGAAATCTCTCTGGAATTCTTCAAGTGTTGTGTTGCTGGCAGATGGTGAGTTTGGAGGGAAAGGTCCAAGAGATAGACATGAAGTGTCTTCTCCCGTGTCAGGCTGGTTAAGTGCAGTTAATGTCTTTCCAATTTTTTCCATTAGCAATGCTTCCCTTCTTGGCCATGAGGGGGTGGTGACCTGGAGGATCAGACGGTTGTCTGTGTAGAGCCTC